ATTGTGCACCGTTTTTACTGTATTTAATTACAGCACACACACAAACAAACAATCTCAGAGTTTTAGTAGTATATAGATAGATAACTGAAATGTAAAAACTTATTTGTAAACAGTAATAATATATATATATACACATATGTAATTTATTATAACAGAAATGAGACTGTATCTTACAAAATACTAATTCATTAGAACAAAGCCAAATGTCACTTTACAAAGGCCAGTTTTATACTGTTGGATATATATATGTATAATGTTATGAGATTTAAGCTATTTAGACTAAAACATTTGTGGTGTCATGTTATAATATGTAGTCGTTCTAGTATAACAAAACCATAATTTATATATCTATTTCCTAATTTTTTTATGGTGGTTACAAGATCAGTCAAGTTGACCAAACCCATACAGAGATACAATACTGAAAATAAGAGAAAAAATAGTTTTTCTAAAAAAAAAAACGTTTAATAATTATCTGAAGGTTATAAATATTTCACTCATGAAATTTGACAATTTTCTGATGAATAAAAGCATTTTTAATCTTAAAATCAAAATTATTTTGCATGTTGGATAGTCAACATTCAAAAAGAAAAAATGCACAAGCAAATCATTATTTAAAAAATTGTATACAAAAATCTGTATGAAAAAGTTATACTGTATTAAACGTTATAGTATGAAAACTATAACAAGCACAAAATGGCTACGAGGTCGATCCTTGGGACAGAGCCCATAGTGAGACAGTTAAAGTGACAAGATGAGAAACAGGAGAAAGAGTAGCCCCATGAGACTCTCAAAGTTAACAGATGTATCCATGATCTAGTAGAAGGAAGACTATTGATAAGCAACCCCAGCTCTAGAAGCAAAGGAATTGGTCCAGTGAGAAAAAAAGGCCAGACTTGGGTCAAGGAGAGAAATGGAAGGGGACAAACACCTGAAATAAAGCATCAAGACTGAGGAGATACCAAGAATAGAGAAAACACGACAAATATTATTTGTGTAATCTCTAAAACCTCCTAAATACATCTCAAACATTTGTTTTCAGTAGAACTTTATATTTTGTCTGTTATTTTCTCTACCCTAATTTATATGGAGTCTGTCAATTTGACCAACTTCGTAACCACCATAAAAAATTAGGAAATAAAAATAAATTATGCTTTTTTCGTTCTAGAATGACTACAGATTATAACACAAAAACACAAATGTTTAATCTAAATAGCTTAAATTTCATAACATTATACATTTATATATATTTATTATTTTTATTATATTGACCATTCAGTCATGGGTGGCTAACATTACGGAAGTTGCAATGATGCAGCACATGTGCACTCATGTTACCGTATCCAATAATATAAAACTGGCCTCTACAACGTAACCTGTCTTGGCTGTGTTTTAGTGGTCTATTATTTTGTAAAATACAGTCACATTTCAGTTATAATACATATGTATATACATTATTACTATTTACAAATAAGTTCTTAGTTATTTTTCTTAAAACATAGAACAGTAAATAAAGAATTAAAGCAAACAATTATCTCTTCTAGTTACAAATTTGTACTCGGTTGCTGCTTGCTGTAGGTTACTAAGCCTTATCAAATTTTGTACATGAAGGATGAGAAATGATATAATTTTTTGTAGGTTTTATATATACAGTT